TTTGTTTTTATCTTGGTGTCTAAGGTGGGTCTCTTGTAGGCACCATATCGATGAGTCTTCTGTTCTTATCCAGTCTACTGCTCTCTTTCTCTTGACTGGTGCATTTATTCCATTCATATTAAGTGTAATTAATGATAATTATGAATGTATTGCTGTCATTCTATTGTGTTTTTTGTCATGTTCTTGGAGATTTCCTTGGTCCAAATACTTTTCAGTGCTGAGTTCATTTTGTTATCAAGTGGTTCCTCTCTTTTCTTCTTTTTTGTTGGTTTTGTGCTTACTAAGCCCATATGTTTCCCTTCTTTCTGGGTTTGCTTAGGGAGATTATTAATTTTCTATGTGGTTACCCTGATGTGAATTCTTGTGTCTTTAATTTTGGAACAGTCTGTTCCATAAGGACATTGTCCTTTCTTCCTCTCTATTTGGAATTTTGTACCTAGAACTTTTATTCCCTCTATTTGCCTTGTTGTTGGTGTTGTCTGGAGATTGACTCCCTTGTTTCTTTGTGTACAATGTTTTATGAGCTTATTTTGAGCATCTATTTCTGATTTGGGTTGATGTCAAGTGTCCTGATTTTAATTTGTTGTTTTCTGTTGTGGGCTTTGTATTGGAAGGACTTCCTTAAGCATTTCTTGTAGGGTTGGTCTGGTTTTCACAAAATCCCTTAATTTCTGTTTGTCTGAGAATCTGTTGATTTCACCCTCCCATTTGATGGACAATTTGGCTGGATATAGAATTCTTGGTTGGAAGTTCTTTTCCTTCAGTGTTTTATGTATGTCATCCCATTGCTTTCTTGCCTTGATGGTTTCTGCTGAGCAATCAGAACATAGCCTAATTGGTTGTCCATTGTAGGTGACATTTCTTTTTTTCTCAGGCTGCTTGCAAGATTCTTTCTTTGTCTTTGGTTTTGGAGAGTTTGATTATGATATGTCTTGGTGACTTTGTTTTGGGATCTGTTCTGTATGGGGTTTGTTAAGCCTATTGGACAGATAACTTTTCTTCCTTCATGATATGGGGGAAATTTTATGTTAGCAAGTCTTCCACAATTTTCTCAGTGTTTTTTTTTTTTTTTTTTTTGCCTCTGCTTTTTCTGGGACTCCAAAGATGCATATGTTGTTTCTTTTCA